GTGTGTGTGTGTGTGTGTGTGTGTGTGTGTGTGTGTGTGTGTGTGTGCGTGTGTGTCGGGTCTTCCCTGCTTATCACATGACAAATTGAACACTTAATCTGTCCTGCGTGTAGATTTATGACCTCGATCACTCAGAGGAGGAGAAAATAGATACAAAGAGGAGAGGAGGCAGGAAATAAGGGAGGGAACGACAAGAGAGGAGGAGTCAAAGGAGGTAATGGTGAGGAGAGGAGGAGAGCAGGAGAGGATGGAAGGAGAAGACAGAGGAGAAGAGGAGGAGAGTGTAGATAAATTGTGTCTGAACATAATCTGCCGATGCTCGGTGGTTTCCGTCAGATGTTAAAGAGTTCAACTCAAACATCAACTGTTTTGTTTGAAATTTGAATTTGGTTTGAATGAAAATGTGAATGATTGTTTTCTGTGAGAATAAAAACAGAAATTCAATAATTTCCTCGTATGAATTAGACGAATAATATTTATTTAAACTTCTGATTGTCTCCTAGGAAACGTTAGTTTGAGGAGCATCTGTTTGTGTTCTGTGTCAGCACTTCTGTAGACTCATTAGAGAGCAAGGAATGCTGGGTAATCAATACCGCAGAGAGAGTTCTGTCTTTTGTCCTTCTGTGTATGTGCGTGTGTGTGTGTGTATGTGTGTGTGTTTGTGTGTGTGTTTACTGTTTACAACCAGCTATCATGAAAACCACCGTGATGCCCCTCCCCCACCACATCACATGGATAACAGACGTATTGTTTTTGTAGTTATATCTCTGATTGCTGACTGAGAGCAGCTTCATCAGGAGGATGTTTCTAGCTTCCTGTTAACACTTCTCTACTTCAGCTTTAAGAGTTCATCTTAACTGACATGACACATGAAACATGAACGTTTCCTCTCATGTGTAGAACATCGTATCGTCTGCATATTGGCTCACTTTAAATACATTTAACATGTTGCTTCTATGAAACAAGAAAACAAGGAGATCCAGGATGGAACCCTTATGAACTCCGTTTACTGGACTCATGAACCTGATCACACCTCTACCTCCGTCTCTTCTACTCACAGAACTACGAGCACTCTGATTATAATAATTCATAATTTACTGGAACATTTGTAGCTTATGTTTTACCTTCTACTGGTTCTTTTAAGCACCTTCTGAATTGATTTGTATGTTTCATATGAAGCACTTTAAATTTTCCGGTTGTTAAAATACAGTTTTTACTGCTACTTGTTTGTTCTGATGTTTTTGAAAATAAATACTTCCTCCTGAGTATTACTGTGATAATGTCACACCACATGAGTATTTTCTCTTTTACGTCTGTTTGTGTTCAGGTTCTTCCTGAAGTTCTTCTTAAAGTGTAACCAGAACTGTCTGAAGAACGCTGGAAACCCACGAGACATGAGGAGGTTCCAGGTAACACACACACACACACACACAAACTAACACACATACACACACACACACACAACACACACACACACACACATACACAAAGATTAATTAATTTCCCCAAAGGGCAGGACGAGGCTTTAGAGGACCTATTGTACCCATCATGCATTGTAGCGGGGCGGCCAGAGGCATATTGCTTTGCAGATATAATATGAGAGGTCGACGGCAACTGTCTGTCTGTCTCACCTTTTATTTTCTGTGAACAGAAACAAATAATCAACTTTTATGAAATCAAATTACAAACCTGAACAATAAAGTTTAGTGAGTATTTAAATAATTATGTTGTTACAACAATGAAACTTACAACAGAAAAAAGATCAGTATATATATATATATATATATATAATATGAGAGAGGAGGTTGACATTAATAAGTGTGGCTAGAGATAATACAGTCTCACAGTTTCTGCACAAAGTAATGCAAACTCACACACACACACTACAAAAAAGTTACACACTAATACACACTCACACACACGCCTCCTCCCACTCCACGCTGTGCTGGGCGAGCTGACAGGATGTAAAGTCCAGTTAAACCAGCAGAAGAAGAAGAGGAGAGAGACGGAGAGAGAGAGAGAGAGAGAGAGAGAGAGAGAGAGAGAGACCAATCAGATGGGTGAGACAGGTGAATTCAGGGGAAGCCTCCGGACCTGTCGGTGGTTGTCAGGGCGACAGCAGGGTGAAGGATGTGCTGGTTAGTCACCGTGGCGACGGAGAGGACACCTCTCCTCGACCTTCTGCTCCGTCGCCATGGATCAATGGCAACAACCTCACTATGGCAACGCTGCCGAGTGATGGATAACATCACAAAGAGGGTGGGGCCAAAGCTCAGTTTACACATCATGTTATTAGTTACAGATATTTATTTTAGATGTTTGAACCGTTGCTTCATTAACTTTTTTATTATTTCATATTTTATTTGTTCTTTGGTTCCTTATTTTATACAAAAGGTCGAATGTCACAAGGGACCTGTTTTATTTTCATTTATTTTCATTATTCCTTGTTTAAAAAAGGGAATCCGTTATCACATATATATATATATATATATATATATATATATATTGTGTATATATATATATATATATATATATATATATACTGTGTATATATATATATATTCAAATTCAAATCACATTAATATATAAATATATTTCAAAAATATAAATTTGAGGCCAATATCTCAGAACAGTCGTCATATATAACCCTAAACCTACACATATATTCATGTATTCTGATGTTATTAGGGCCCGAGCAACCGACAACGTCGGGCCAGCGAAGGCCCTATTGAAAATTGTAAGGGGTATTATTCTTTTTATTCAGATTTTTATTTTTGGTAAACGGGCGCATTTTTGGGGGACTTGCCATACTCCAAAACTCGCCAAATTTTGCACACCTGGTAAAAATAGCCATCTGGTATAGGTTGCATATTTCTGTATCAAAAAATGGCTCTCTAGCGCCCCGGTGACGCCCCTCGGGCCAGTATGTCCGATTGACTTGAAATTTGACACACGTCCAGCTCTGCTAGCTCTACAAAAAAGCCTCTCAGACCCCTAAGCTCCGCCAGCTTAGATTTTCCGCCATTTTGAATTTTGTGAAAAACACATTTTTGCGAACTCCTACACGCTGGGTCTGATTGCTTCCAAATTTGCACTGGATCATTATTGGTCCTAAGTCATCAAAGTGCATTTAAACATTTTAATCAATTCAACCACTAGGGGGTGCTACAGTAAACCCCCAATGTTGTGCTTTTTTGTCACTTTTTGCAGTTTTCAGCCTTCGTACTTTAACAAACTCCTCCTACAGAATTTATGCGATCAACTTCAAATTTGGTCAGGATGCTGTTAAGACCTTAGTGATGAAAATTATTAAATTCGTGAGTTTTCATTGAAGAACCTTGACGTGGTGTGGCGGCCATTTTGCCTCATTGGGCATGAAAAAGGAAGTTGTTATAACTCCAAGATACATTATCCAATCTGCACAAAACTTCTTATGCATGATGCTACTTCAAGCTTGAGCATATTCCAATGCCAAAATGTTCAATAACTCATAACGCCGTCGACTGGAAAAAGGAAATGTCACATTTTATACTTTTGTTTACTTCTCCTAGCCAGGTGTCCTGATGACTCTCAAATTTGGTAAGGATGGCTTTAAGACAATGAAGATACTTCACCATGAATATTGTGACTTTTTGTTGAACGCTGTTGCCGTGGCAACACATCATTCGCCATTAAAAAGGAAGCTGATGGTTTAGTGGCTTGGGATGCTCAAAAACTCATGGAACTTTGTACATGTGTCACAGGTCATAGGAAGACATAGTTTATATGGGTTTTTGGCTTGGCCGTTTTAGATTGCCTCCATAGCGCCCCCTACAATATTTCAAAAGAGCAGCCCCAGCGCTACGTTTCACTTACATGTATGAAACCTGGTCAGGAGATGTATCCCATGGTGACTTAAAAATAAGTCTCTTGGGACCATGCTCTAAACCAGTGATTCTCAACTGGTGGGTCGCGACCCAAAAGTGGGTCGTGGACCGGTTTTCAGTGGGTCGCAGGCCTTTGCCTGACCAAAAAAAAAAAAAATGTGATTTTATTTTGAAGGGCATTTTTTATGCAGCAGAATTATTCCAGCATTTACGGCACTTGTTCAGCGGTGCAGGAAAAACACCGACCAATGTGTTGTGAATCACATCAGGTGATGAAGCTCAGCCAATCAAATATGGGTGTTCTGACAAGTTTCCTGACTTGAGTGAGATGTACACACACCGTGACACAGGGGGAGAGACGAGGATATAGACAGCAGAGCAGGACTATTTATTGAGGTGTGAGTCGTGAAAGTCAAATCATAGGACGATCTCTAAAAGAGAGAAATGGCCAGAGAGACCAGAGTCATTAGACTCTGAAGAATTCACCTACATGAGTCTGTCCAGTCAAACACTAATTTCTCTTTTTAGAAGATGAGAAAAATATAATATTATGGCTTTTTCACTTCACCCTGAATGAATGAGTTTAAAGCTGCAGGGCAATTCAGTGAAAATAAATTTGCTAAAATGAATTTCGTTAAGTCATTTATTCTTTAATCCAGCCGTTATTTTACTTGAAATGAGATGAACATTCATTTATGTATTTCTATGTATTATTTATAATCCATCCAGTTAAATTTGAAAAATGAGAATAATATTTGTTAAAATATAATTGATGTGTACTTTCTTTATTTGATTTGACAGTCGTTTACTACACAGAGACGTTACTACTACTAGACTTCTTGAATATAGATATACCCAAATTATTTATATATATATATAATTTGGGTCGTGGGTCCCGGCTTGTCATTAAGGGGTGATGGTGGGTCCCGCAGCCAGACCAGTTGAGAACCACTGCTCTAAACCATACTGGAAGTCAGACATTTTTTCATAGATTTTGGCCAATTTCTATTCGCTACACTTTAACGAACTCCTCCTAGGAAATTGGTCAGATCCAGTCTCAAATCTCAACACCGTTGTAATTAAAAGTTATCAAAAGCTTTACGTTTGACAGAATCGCTTAGCCGTAGCAGGCGGTTACTTTACGTGATTCCCCATGAAAAAAGCCGATGTAACTCAACTGGACTTGTTCCAAACGGTCCCAAAATTCCCATGCTTGATAACACTCATGGCCTGAGGATGTCTACAAGCTACTTTTCACTAATACTCACATTGCCACCTGCTGGCAAAAGGAAATCTGCGTTTTGTGACAAACGGCATCCGATTTACATGACTTTTACACAATGTGGTTTACACTTGATATAGAGCAACATAAAGCATGTTTGCACGTGCTCTCTAGCGCTAATCAGTGGATACAGGAACCGGTGGACTATTTTCAAAGCATCATTTCCAGCGTCACACGGTCCACACAGGTAAAAAACGTCGGACTCGCAGAAGCATTGTCCGATGGTCGCGGACGTTCTCGTCCGCGCAGGCCGGAGTCCCGCCGGCACCCCCGACGTGCGGGAGGATGCGAGGACCTGTTCATCGCTGCTCGCAGCTTTATTTGGTTGTTGTTTTCTTAAGTGGCGCCATCACAAATGTTTCAATTAGTTCTAAAAATGATGTAAATCTTTGAGATGTGTTGTTTGTTTCTGGGAGGATAATTGTTTTGTCTGTATCGGTTATAAATAAAGTTGTGTTTGTTTGAAGGTGGTCGTATCTACGACGGTCAATGTGGACGGACACGTTCTCGCCGTCTCCGACAACATGTTCGTACACAACAACTCCAAACATGGCCGCCGAGCCCGGAGACTGGACCCATCTGAAGGTGAGCAGCTGTTAAACAGTGATGAAGACTACTGGGTTAATGTTATAAACAATAAGGAAGACTACTGGGTTAATGTTATAAACAAGAAGGAAGACTACTGGGTTAATGTTATAAACAGTGAAGAAGACTACTG